ATAGTTGCATGCATGAAAGTATTCCAAAGGAATGTACCTGCAAGAGCTCCTCCTCCTGTGTTCATTGCGGACATGGTCTGACTTTTCCTTGTCTTTCCTTGAGTCCCTTGTGCCTCAGAACCTGGWRGAAAAATACACATAATTTATCAGACATTCAAATCAGATCAATAAATTAAATAAATGAAGTATCAATATTCTGTCACTGAAACTAAGAACAAGGGTAAAACATGTTTCCAGCATGTAAACTAAAACTTACCTGACACGGTGTTCGGGGAGAGTGTGCGGCTGCTCTTGTCAGCGCTGATATTTATACTAGACAAGCCAAACCGAAAGCATTTGATGCACTGGAACAACAGGTTCATATTATCATCATGTTCTTTCCCATCTGAAAAAGGCCACACCTTATCTTCTTACATTGTTGAAATTTCAAAGTCATGTCGTGGATCACTGCCACCAACCTCTTTTCTCGTGGTCTGTTTTTCTCACTGACATATTTGTTCATCACTTCCTTCAGATTACAGGAATCGTTTGCTGTCTTGTAGGTTAACCTGTTTTGTTACATGCCTTTCAAAAGAGTGAACTCATGACAAGATGTGAATTGAGTGCATCAGTGTTCTGACGAGGAATCCCCTTCGTMCTCCTGGTATCATCTAGCATGAGATTTAAAAAAATCTGATTAAAAAATAAAGCAACACTGTACCAGGATTATAAAATTACCCATCATCTGCACTGCTCTATAAATGTGTCTGATTCTTAGTTTTATTTATTACAAGACACTATGATAAGTTGTGTCATGATTGACAGCTGAGACTGACTTGTGATTGGTCGTGTCTGTGTGTGGGAGGGATCTTTCAGTACCTATGTGATTGTGCAGAGTCCAGAGACTCTTTGGATAATGGCCTCTTAATTTTGCATTTGTTGTTGGTGAGATACAGTGTAGACTTGACTTTGCTAAAATGATACGAAACATTCCTACATTACACTTAATGCTGTAAAAAGGATGATTTWAAAAAAATATATTTACTGAATAACATTTCTTCATGGCCTGAGTTTATATATCATCATCATTRCCACCACCAGTAACTATACAATAATGAAACATGGAGGCCCAGGCTCCTTGCTGCTTTCAAATCATTATCCATGAGTCCAAGGTGCATTTTGTGGCTTTTATTAATACTTGAACCCCCCCCCATACCTGTTATTACAAAACAATAACTGAAGCCTACATACGCAGCAACACAGGATGATATTAACTTTGTTTCCCACAATTATCCAACAAACAAGTCAAACACAGAAAATGTTAACAAATATGACCATATGTACATTTTTTCAACTTCCTTGCATCTTGTCTGAAATCAGTCAGATGCCACAGTGTTCTCTTCTGTTACATTGATGTACATATACCTTTCTTATACATATTACACAGTAAAGGTGTTTTGCGCATATTAATACTTCAACATCATCTTATAAACCATCAGTGTCATTATCTTTTGTACTTAAGTACAAAGCTGTGGAGCAAAATGAATGATATTTGTAGAACTTGAAGTATTCACAAAATAAACCATATGTCAGGGATAACAAAAGTATTTTTAGATGTTACTTACTTACTACACTGACTGTGTAAAAGCATAAAAGTCACAAATTACTCAACATATTAAAAGATGTATGACACATAAAGTAATTGCATTAACATACATTTTCAGGTAATTCTGATTTCTTTAGTCTCATTTACTCTAGCACTTATTCATTACTTTTAATTTCAAAATGTTCATATTTTAAAAGTACAATGTGGAAATAAAGGTGAAATATAAAAACAGTCTTTGCACTTGATCCTCATTTGTGTGCATCGCTCTGATCATGTTTGAAACATCTCATCACATCTGTGTATGAAACAACCAAGTCATCAACAAAAGTTATTTAGAGTAAATATTTATAACATTTAATACATTTACAATATGACTCACTGAAACGTTTAAAACTTGGTTTTACAAGTAAGCATTACACAATCCACTGTGAAGGTAAAAGTCTTGCAATAAAAGGAACATCCACAATCTTCACAACATGAAAAACATGGCAAAAAAAACAACAACGTTTTCTGATGTTAATGWGATTTTAAGTCGAACATAATCATTTCCAGTGTTCATCATCTCTGGACTAAAGAAGACAACAGTTAAAACAACTAACATTTAAAGGTAAAACACTGAAGACCTCTAGTTTTCTTAGTAAAGGTCTTTGTACACCAAGTTTCTAT